TCTACTGCTATTCTCCTTCCTGTGTACTTCAACTGCCCTCTCCTCTGGCTTCTTTCCTTCAACATATAGAAATGCCATTAAAAAAAAAATAGGTCTCTCTGTAATAGCTGCCCAATTTCCAATGACCTGCACTGTATTTAAGGATCCCTAGTTCAGTGGCAGCAGTTTCTGCTATAACTTCTGACCCACAGAGAAGAGCAATCCCACAGTTCTTCAGGGATGCTGGGACTCCCCTCATCAATTTATTTCTCACTCTCATGGTGAAAGATATCTCCTTTAGACCCTCCCAGAGTGGGTGAGTTGGTCTTACATGATTAAGTCTGTCTACCATGCCAATCTCCCTAGGTCTTTGGATCCCTTCCTCTGTAATGCAGCAAGACAGGTCTGGTATTTTAACTTCATTTTGGGGAGGTCACCTCTTGGTCCATGCTTCAGCCAACCAACCAACTAACCCCTAAGGTTATAACAGTGAACCCAGAATCATTGCTTAATCCTTCTATTATCAATAAATTTGGCCTTGTCCAACTTTATGCGCCTTCCACCATTATCCCCCATCTTTAATATCCATTCGCACAAGAATTCCCCAGATTTCTACAAGTATAAATCAAACTAAATCATGTGGTTTTTAAAGTACAGCACACCTCCTCCTGGAAGGTACACACTTATACCTTCCCCTTGAGGGCCTGCTGGGACTTGGGTCTACTTATAGGTCTAGAAGCAAAGAAGGGGGGTAGGGGTAGTTCCTGAGGAGAATCAGTTGTTTTGCAAGGCAATTACCTCAGGGAAGGCCATTACAAGTACTTCACAGAAAGCAAGGTTAAATTCTTCAAAGAGGAGTAAAAGGACTGCTTCTAGTGGCAAAGACAATGGATTAAAATTTAGGGGTTCAGTATCCCATTCCAAATTTGAGGATTACATTCTTTCTCAATCAATGCCCTCATTTTAATAGCAGATACTCTGCTATACATTGTAAGTCAGCCACTTTGCAGGATGAGACTTTGGGTTTGATTTTCAGCAATCTCAGCTCTGCAATTACAGGAGATGAGTTTCTTTAAGGCAGATATAAAAAATTTCAGGTTATTTATGTAGAGCCTGAGCTGGGAATCTGAAGATCTGAGGTCAACCTTTTCTTTCCCCTTTCCCCAGCAGTTAGTAGCCAGCAGTCAGCAACCAGTCAGTCTCACTATACTTGTTAATTTGACAAAAATGTTTTACGTCATCAAATATGTGATCATCCCATCCTCACCTTGTATAAATACTTGCATAGGATGGTGACATTCTGGGTTTTGTATATCTCTGTTGCCACATCACGCTATGGGCTATCAGTGCCCTTTTCACTTATTAGTGTCTTTAAATCTAATCAGATCAGGGAAGCCATTCCAAGAAAATCATAACTAATTCAGAAAACTCATCTTTAATAATCTACTCCTCTAGGGGCTCCTGGGTGACTCAGTAGGTTAAGCGTCCAACCTCGGCTCAGGTCATGATCTCACAGTTCGTGGGTTCGAGCCCCGTGTCAGGCTCTGTGCTGACAGCTAGCTCAGAGCCTGGAGCCTGCTTCACATTCTGTATCTCCCTCTCTCTCTCTCTCTGACCCTCCCCTGCTCACACACTCTCTCTCTCTCTTTCTCAGAAATAAATAAAAACATTACATAAATAAATAAATAAAAATAATCTACTTCTCTAGAACCACTCTCAGCACCAAAATCTTAATCAAAAGTTTCTCCAGAGATACAGAACCAAGAGAAAAAAAAATTATACATATATTTCTAGCTATCTGTCTTTAGACTTATCTGTATTTAGATAAACAGACATTTCTATCTATTAGAAACCTATTACTATTGGGGCGCCTGGGTGGCTCAGTCAGTTAAGCATCCCACTTTGGCTCAGGTCATGATCTCACGGTTCGTGGGTTCGAGCCCCGCATCAGGCTCTGTGCTGACAGCTAGCTCAGAGCCTGGAGCCTGTCTTTGGATTCTGTGTCTCCCTCTCTCTCTGACCCTCCCCTGCTCATGCTGTCTCTATCTCTCTCTCAAAAATAAATTAAAACATTAAAAAAAATTTTTTTAAAGAAACCTATTACTATTTATCTAAATATATAAATATTTATTTTAAGATTGGCTCACAAAATTGGGGGACTAGCAACTCTGAAATATGTTGGGTAGATATGCCAGGTTGGAAACTGGCAGAAATCAATGTTGTAGTCTTGAGGAAGAATGTTTTCTTCTTGAGACACTTCAGTTTAAAATTCGGGGCTTCAATTGATTGGATGAGGCCCATCCACATTATCGAGGGTAATCTCTTTTACTTAAAGTAAATTGTTTGCAGATGTTAACCATATCTTTAAAATACCATCATAATAACACAAAGATTAGTGTTTGATTAAATAACTAGGTGGCATAGCCTAGTCAAGGGGACATATAAAATTAACATCACACATAATAAACTTACATTTTTCAACCAAATCCTACTTTCAACTACACCAAAAACCTTGTTAACAAGAATATCTTACAGGCTCCAAAAAGGCAGTAAAATTTCAGCAAGAACACTTTGGCAAGTGTACTGAAGGAACAGTCCTTCCTCCAAGATGGAAGAAACAAACCTTCCATAAACCAATTCTTTCCCACCTCGAAGAATACCATCATGCTTTAAAATTTTTTAATTTGTTTTTATGTTTCAAAAATGTGATCTTGAACTACACTACAGAAATCACACTTTTAAATTATACTTCTGAGTGCTGTTACTTGGGAAATTACTTTAAAAGAGGGATGGTACCTACTGAACCTGTTGCTTACCTTTACTTTGACCAGAAAACTTGGAAGTTACTACTCCATTTCCTTTCACCGACAAAAGTATAATTCAAACCAGGAGAAATCCAAAGCTGGCTGGATGAGTAATGAGCCAAATAATCAAAACAGTGCATAAAGAAATCTTATAAATGGTTTAAAATAAATCTTGTATGTCGTTTAAAAAAAAAAAAGATTTGTACAAAACTTTTCTTGGCAATTCATCCATTCAATAAACAACCAAGTATGCCAGGCACTGTTCAAGGCACTTAGGTTAAATCACGAAACAAAATGATGATCCTTGCCTTGTTGGGAGCTCATAAATAACATCCTTATTAAGTTATTTTTTTTCTGAACATAATAACCCAAACATTAGGAGGAATCAAGAAATTTTCTGAAAATCCATTATGTGCCAGCCAACTTCTAGTTATGAGCCTGGCCTTCTAGCAAGCACGGCTTCATTATTAGCACAGCTTCTGGTCTCTGGAACCAGCTTGCCTGGGTCAAAATCCTACTTCATTACTTCCTAGCTTCATGACCTTGGCCAAGTTACTTAACCCTCATCTATAAAAATATAAAAAAATAAAAAATCATAGCAACTACCCCACTGGATTATGTAAGAATTAAATGAGTTCAAATATGTAAAGCACTTAGTCTGGCACACAGAAGGTATCAAAATATTTGCTATTATTATTTTAATTCAAATTTCAGGCAATAATGGGGGGGAATAACAACAATAGTAACTTTTAAAACATTTTTGTCAGGGCCATTCACTCTTTCCACTACTACTACATTCAAGCGTTCTTCTATTCTAACTCAATTTACATGGCTTTCAGTTAGGTTTTATAAAATTCACAAAACGTGATCTCTATATATCTCATGCAGGACATCAGTTCACGGTGGAGTTTGCATCACACATATTTAAGAGGTTTTTAATCTTATGAAAAAATTTCTTAAAATGTCAAAATTAGATTCATTTTCCCTAAAATTACAACAGCAATTATCTCAAGAAACTTTAGCATCAGAATCAGCAAAAATGGCCACATGATCACTTAGTTTTAATGCACAGATATGTACATAGTACATTCAATCCCTAGGACCTATACCTTCGCAGTTGTCAATATCATGAACTAGTTAATTCTCAAAACAGCTCACTGCATATAATTAAAAATACAAGCACAGTAATCTAAAATTGACAGCTCATCCTCATTTGTTAAAAATAGGCCTCATTCTTGGCCCAAAGTTTATAGAGGGTCAACAACCTCAGAAAGGTTAATGCCCACAATTTAGAAGGGACTACATTGTAAAGTACATGCTGCAAATGCTGCCACCCCCAACGCCGTCTCAATAGAACTCTACCTACTAGCAAGGTAGGCCAGTAAAACACGTTTTCAGAGCTGCTTTTAAAGTGATCAATTTTGCTGAAGAATTCAAGATGAACTGTAAATCTCATCACGTTTTTACACCCTAAAGATGGAGTGGTGCTGAGGCACAACGTTCAAATGTGCACGCCATCAGTAACCTCGGTTCACAGATACAGTTTCCACCCTAAGTCCCTGGTTGAAGACCCGAAGTATGGAAATTCCAAGTTTCAGTACAGTAGGTGCCTTGGACTCTCCAGTGGAAACGTGAGAAGATGGACAAAGTGAGTTTTCTCCCCCAACTATCCCATGCCAAAGTGCAGCCAACACAGAATACGACCATAGCTATTCTAAAGAATAGGGATGGGTTGCCCCCTCTCCAGAATCTGACAGATGAGAATGGCCTCCCTGGCGGGTGGTATGGCAGGTCTTCCCAAATACAGCGGGAAGGAATGACCTGCCAGTTCCCAAGAAGTAAAATGTTCATTTTTAAAACAACTCCAAGGGAGGGGGCTCCCAGGGCCCCCCCTCAGCCGTCTTCTGAGGAAAGGAAGAGCAGAGGGCGAAGGGTTAACAAAGCACAAAGCTGAAAAACTATCCCCAAACCGGATTTGCCAAGCCTGGGGCCTAACAGAGAAGGGCGGGGGTGACCTCTGTCGGCCGCCAGGGGCGGTGGGGAAGAGAATGTGCAGAACCCCGGCCCAGCAGGAGGATTCCCGGCATGGCCCGAGGAGCGGTGGGCACCGGGCAGGTGTTGGGTTCGCGCCCCAGGTCTTCTCTCTAACGTGCACCAAGTTGAAGGTGCCCTCTCGACCCCTCCCGCAGTTCCTTAAAGCTCTTGGGCCCAGGCTACCTCTTAGGACGTTGAGGCCACCGCCGTTTCCCGCCGCACAAGCCGAAAGACAGCTCCTCTGACGCCACGGCGGTGTCACTCAGGAGAGTGACCTGACCAAGCGTGGGTCAGGATGCCAGAACCCACCTGGCTCAGGCTGACCCTTGTCGCTCCCGCCCCCCCCCGCTCCCCCCCGCTCCCCCCCCCCCACGGGGCCCGCCAGCCGCGCCCACTAACAACGTGCTCGCCACTGCCCGTGCCGCTCCGCGCGTCCCTCCGCAGGCCCTCGCGCGCTGCACGCCGGGACTCGTAGTTCCGGCGCAAAGGTCTTACGACGCTCCACTCTCCGCAGAGAGCGAGGTCACGTGACCGTCCACTCCCCGGAAATGGCGTGACAACACACGCGTGGCGCCGAAGGTCGCTTCCGCAAACAGAGCCGTGGATGGTTGTGCAGGTGAGTGTGGCGGCTCGAACGCTGGCTCTTCTTTGACTTTAGGCCCTCTGCCGCCTTCGCTATTGAAGGAGCACTCTGACTCCTGACGTGCTCTCGCTTCTCGTTAGCCCTGTTCCTTCAGTACCAGTAGGAAGGGGTTTATTGTGCACTCAGCCAGGAGCCAAGTGGGCATTACTTGTGGGAGTTGGCGAGCTCTGTTGCTTCTCCAGACCGAACGAGCCGGGATCTGGAAGAAGCCAGAAGTGGAGCCTCAGGCCGCACCTCAGTGGTGCCGAGAAGGCGGGTTGGAGAGGGTTTGTCAGATCCAAAGAAGTGTCTGTAATATCTTGAGCGGCAGTCGGTAAATATAAACCGGGGATTTAGTAAAAGCTAGGCCGCGCCAATGACGGAAGAGGGTGAAGTTGGCTGAAGATTTCTCTTCTCGCCTCTGTTGGGTCCTCCTAGGTCCCCGAGTTGACCCCCATCTAACTGGCGGGTCGGGGCGTAGAGCTTACCTGGTTGAGTTTAAGCCTGGAGGCCCTGGCTCCCTGTTCGGTCGTTCTTTGAGAAACTGAAATGACGGAGATATGGCCTGCCTCAGACTGGATTTCCAGTCACATCTATTTGGATATTTAATAAACTTCCATCTCTATCTCAGTTTTATCATTACCCTAAGCTCTTCCTTGAGGATCCCGAGGGGCAGCCCTCTTTAGTTTGGAGTTTATTCATTATTGCACTTTGATGCTCGCTTTCTACTCTTATTACCCACCTCTGCGGTCCTTTGGAATTTTATATTGTTTATTCTGACCGATTTGATTTTTTTTTTTTTTGACATCCCTTTTGTGGTAATAGAGGTGCTTGTAAAATACAATCCACTCTTACTCCTAATACTAACTTTAGGCGATAATTGCAGCCGGCGATGTTAAATCACATTGGTTTGTTCGAATTTAAACCAATTTCTGTTCCCTTAATAGGAAATAAGTGGCAGGGTGGGAAAGATAAGCATTTGATAATTTTGTGACCAATATTGCTGCGTACTGATTTTAAGTGGTTATTCTGAAAATTACATTTCTGGGTGATTTTTTTTCTTTGATTCAGTTCTTCCTAGTTTGGCACATCTTGGTATTTTGTTACCTACACCTTCGGTATTGAAAGCTAATATCCCTTGAAACCTTTCATGGTTTATAGTGACTTGTTTTTACCTATTCCCTTAAGCAACCTCACTTCCTACTGTTTCTTTACTCAAAAGACCTTTTCCCCCTTCTTCATAATTTTCAGGTTCTGAATTTGCTGAATCTCATGGGTTTTTTGGCATTTGCTCTCTCATATCCATTTGGTTTGAATAATACAGGGTAACATTTTGAAAGTGGTATACAGGCTGTAAGCTTCTTAAAGACTAAATAGTGCCTTATTAAGATCCTTTGTAGTAGGAGTATAGTGAAATTGTCAAATGACTTATATTAATTCCTGTCCCAAGGGTGCCTGAGTAGCTCAGTTGGTTAAGTGTCCAACTTTCTCTCAGGTCATGATCTCACTGCTGGTGGGTTTGTGCCCCTGGTGGGCTCTGTGCTAACGACTAAGAGCCTGAAGCCTGCTTTGGATTCTGTGTCTTTGTTTCTCTCTCTTCCCCTCCCCTGCTCGCACGCGCGCGCGCTCTCTCTCTCTCTCTCTCAAAAATAAATAAACATTTTTTTAAAAACTCAAAAAAATAAATTCCTCTTCACTATAGTTCATGTATTTCTCTCCCTCTTCCATTTTACACATAGGTCTGTGGACATTTGAAGGAGACTTAATAGTCATTAAGTTGCACGTTGGGTCTTGAAACTTCTTTTCCAAAGGTATTTATACTGCTTTCCTTTCTAATTCTGACACCCATTATGAAGGATTTCAGAAGTTAACTGTAGGTTCTCAGACTTTCTTGTTCTTGGTGCCCTTAGTGTCTCTGATTATTTTTCTTAGTTAACCATGAAGGATTACTAATGGGCTGTATACACCTGTTGGGTACTGTACAAATTCTCAAGCTTTGAAATCAGATTTGACACTGCCAACTTCACTTCCTGATTCACATTGATTTCCACTGGTACCACCAAAATCTCAGCTTCACAAAGTTCTGATGTCATTGAAAGGAATGTAGTGCAATCTGCTCAGTTGAAACCGCTCTGTTTGAAGCTATATTTGTGATATCTTCCAGATGTCAGATATCACAGTTTCTCTTAAAATTTTAAAATACCCTGTTGTGCCTGTACAGTTTACTATAGTGTCCAGCTCACAATTTGGGAGCCAAAGCTATGAAGTAAACATAAAAGTAGAAATGGAACTAGTGCTTGTATAATAGCCCCACTAAATCTGTCACTTTCAATGGCAGTAATGGCTTTTATGGATAAGATTGTGTAAGTATTTAGGGATTATAATTAGTACTTTCATATTAGCATATTCAGAGATTCATTTGTAATGTACATCAGTGTTTTTAATATTCTCTCTATAATGAGACTTTTTTAACTCCTAGTTGATAACTGAAATTAAATGGCTAGCTTGTGGTTAAAATTATTATAAAGTTTCAGCCTTGGTGTTTACAACTAATACCAAACATTTGCCGTTCTAGTATTAGTTCATGACGTTTTACCATCTAAGTAATCAAAAATGGAAAATTCTGCAAAAGCAGAGTGTGAAAAGATCTCTCTTGAAGAGGCAAAAGCATCAATACATTCAGAAACAGAGTCTTCATTCGATATTAATGAAAACACAACCACTCCTGGGACTGGGCCTTCTGAAAAGGCTCCTATCTGTGGACAAGTAGACACACCAAAAAAGAGAAAGATGGAATTTGAAGATGATATTGTAAAGGAAAGTTCTAGTTGTGGGGAAGACATTACGACCAAGAAAAGAAAACTTGATGCTGAAATTGTCCCCGAGGAGAAAGGTTCTGGTGATGATGAAGGCATTTCAAGGAAAAGAAGAATGGAAACTGATGATTTTCCAAAAGATGAACCTTCTACTGGAGATGGCACACAGAAAAAGAGAAAAATAGAACTTGAGGATGTTCCTGAAAAGCAAAAAGTATGTTGAATTTATTTTTTTTTTTTTTACTCACAATGAAATATGTAAAATTGGAATGTAGAGCAGCTGTGAAATAATACTGTTGTTTATATAATCTTAAACCTTAAGACTGTAAGTTTATAACTATATTTTATCTGTTTATAATAAATAATGTCTTAAGATAGAGTAGACTTTTAACTCTTTTAATGTAGTTGCTTTTATTTAGGTGAAATTTGTGCTAATTGAGATAATTTCTGTTATTTAAGAACTCTTATTTGACTAGAAACTTGAAAACTAGTTTTTATAGTTTGCTTTATCTCCGTGTTTTAAAAAATGAGTTGAGACATTCTTTTCCTTTTTTGTTACATATTCATCACTTTCTTGTGTCCAAAATATTAGAGACGATGACTTAAAATGTTAAATTTCAGTATTACACCCCCCAGCTTTACATTCCTTTCTTAATGTGATTCTTTAAATTGTTTCTAACTTCTCATTTGGGTAGTACATTGCAATTTTAAGCCTGATATTTAGCATGGATATTCTAGAACAAGGCACAGCAAGTTATTTTCTTCTGGGAATACCTTATTATAAGGGAGTCTGAGGCAGAATCTGGATTTGAATGGAAAGAGTACTTCAGTGAATGAGTAAAAATTCTGCCATCATCCTTGAAAAGTAAAGTGTCAGATAGGTCAGGCATTTGTCATTGGTAGAGTGTGAATTCTTTTAACAGAGGGGAGCTTGTCTTTTTTTTTTTTTTTTTTTTAATGTTTTATTTTTTTCGGAGAGAGAGAGAGAGACAGCGTGAGCAGGGGAGGGTCAGAGAGAGAGGGAGTCACAGACCGAAACAGGCTCCAGGCTCTGAGCTGGCAGTCAGCACAGAGCCCGACGCGGGGCTCGAACCCACGAACCGTGAGATCATGACCTAAGCGAAAGTCGGACGCTTAACCGACTAAGCCACCCAGGCGCCCCAAGGGGAGCTTGTCTTATAACCACAGTTTTCAAACTTTATTAGCGGCAAAACCCTTTTTTCAAGTGAAAATCTTAAACCAGTGTAAGATAGGTAAAAGATGAAGCACTTTGGTTGAACAGGAAAATGTGGGAATTTGAAGCCCTTTACCTACCATGGAATTTTTGCAAAACGCCTAGTATCAGGTAAGGGCCATCCACTGAAACTTTGGGGTTAGATGAAGAGTGCAAAAAAACAAAAACAAAAACACAGAAACAAAACCATTGACATGAATATAGCTTATTGGGTTCTAATTCCCTTGTATTATTTAATGCTTATGTGAGTTGAATAAATCAGAACTCTGGAAGAGTACTGGTTTTATTAACCAGCAATGACATTGACACCAAAATTATACACATGAAAGATCAAGATGAAAATTTTAAACCAAGAGATGTTTTAAATATAGGGAACAGAGGGGGCCCCTGGGTGGCTCAGTCGGTTAAGTGTCCGACCTCGGCTCAGGTCATGATCTCATGGTTCGTGGGTTCGAGCCCCACGTCGGGCTCTGTGCTGACAGCCAGCTCAGAGCCTGGAGCCTGTTTCAGATTCTGTGTCTCCCTCTCTTCTCTGACCCTCCCCTGCTCACGCTGTGTCTGTCTCTCTCTCTCAGAAATAAATAAAATATTTAAAAATATATATAGGGAGCAGAGGAGAACAAATCTTATGTATGATTATTATTAGTAGGATTATGTGGTCAATGCCATTGCTTATTGAAGTTTACCAATTTCATTAGTATTTTATCCTTATATAGGTCAGATGCTCTTTTAGACTGATTTCTGCCATGTTCTGATCCTTAATTTTATTCCATTCTCTTATTTTCAGAACTTAGAAGAGGGACACAGTTCAGCAGTGGCTGCCCACTACAATGAACTTCAGGAAGTTGGTTTGGAGAAGCGTAGCCAAAGTCGTATTTTTTACCTCAGAAACTTTAATAATTGGATGAAAAGCGTCCTCATTGGTATATTTGATTGATTTTTTTACTTATAGTTTGGAATTTCTTATTTCAGTTTATGTATCATTTTTTTTTCTTCTCAAATGGTTATACATTAAACTACTAGGTCTTTCATTCCTATTCGTTTAATTATCCAACCTTGACTTTGTAAAATTGGAGCAAAAATTAAAACTAGGCCTTATAGATACATTTTTTTCATATTTACTTTTGGACTACATACAGTATTTCTGCGTGTTTAATTGATATTAAATTCATAAGTTAGGGGCGCCTGGGTGGCTTAGTCGGTTAAGCATCCGACTTTCGCTTAGGTCATGATCTCGCGGTTCGTGGGTTCGAGCCCCGCGTCGGGCTCTGTGCTGACTGCCAGCTCGTAGCCTGGAGCCTGTTTCAGTCTGTGACTTCCTCTCTCTCTGACCCTCCCCTGCTCACGCTGTCTCTCTCTCTCCTAGAAATAAATTAAAAAAAAAAAAAAAAATTCATAAGTTAACCAGGCTTTCAAAAGTCAGTATGCTCCTTTTATACTAAGACTTAAGGTTACCTAGTGCTATTAAGTAATTATTTTATATTACTCTAATAGTTTTGGAGCAGTGACTCATTGTTAGATTAAGCATTCAGCTTCTATTAAGTCAAGAAAATGGACATTGTCATGATTTTTCATCTGTAGGCCTTTAATGAGTTGGTAAAGATGGTGATATCACCACATATGTGGTAATTTTTCATTGAACTTGTATAGTGTCTGAGGAAAAATAAAGATTACTTTGAGGCTTAATAAAGACATTCAACTTTTTGGAGCCAGCATTTTATTTACGGAAACTCATCCTTAAAATGTGGGGCGCCTGGGTGGCTCAGGTGGTTAAGTGTCCCGACTCTTGATTTTGGCTCAGGTCGTAATCTCGAAGGGGCTCCAGGCCCTCATCAGGCTCTACCTGCTTGGGATTCTCTCTCTCCCTCTTTCTCCTCATGTGCATGCTCTCTCTCTCAAAATAAAAAACATTAAAAAAAAATTAAAATGCAAGTCAGTGGCAGAAATATGATTCAGAATATATTTATTGCTCTCTATATCTAGTATATTAAGTAGTCAGATTCTTAGGTGAATTTAGGGAATTTTTTAAAGCCAGCGTGTTTTGAAGTTTTTCACAGTAAGATTTTGGTGTGGGGTTTTTTTTGTTTTTTTAAAAACCCGCCTCAGGAAAAGTGAGAATGCTTTCGTGATGACACTGGAAAAACATGAAGTGCTAATTATGGCTATTTCTAGTAGTTTTGATGATAATTTACTAATTTTTATTTTACTTATTTATTTTAAAGATTTTATGTTTTTAGTAATCTCTAAGTCCAATGTGAGGCTTGAACTCAACAACCCTTAGATCAAGAGTCACATGCTTTACTGACCGAGTCAGCGAGGCATCACGATAATTTACTAATTTTTATTTATTCTGATAGTTTTTAGGAGTGGGAGCTAGGCTTATTATTTTGAACACATTAATATTTTCTATCTCACTTTTGTTTTTAATGCTCATTTTATTACAGAAATATGATTTACTTGTCTCTGCTAGTTTCCAGCTAGGGTAATTAAATGTTGGCTCCCAATCCTCGCCCCCCCCCCACCTTTTTTTAAGGTTAGTGTTATGGCATTTTTAGTCTATACTTTTAAGATAATCTTTGGACCCTAGTTCTAATTTCTTTTCAGTTTTTCTTTTCCATTCCTCCTTATCATCAGTAATGTAGATATCTTCTTGGGTATTGTTTCTGATGTGTCATTTCTTCTTATATTTATTCACTGAATAAATATTTTTAAGTTCAACTGTATTTTTCACATCGTTGTATTATTTTTACAACCAGGGAAACAGGTTATTTTCAAAAAGTCATAAGTCAGACTAAACAAATTTCTTCTCCCCACATATTCATGCTATTCTTTCTTCCTTCAGCAACTCTCTCATTGGGTGTTTTGCTATCTGCACCTGTCTTTCTGATTCTGGTACAATCAGTATGGTCTGTGCCAAGCTATCTCTCTGGCTTTTTCCTCTCTCTTCTCAACGCCCATTCTTTGTCATTTATTTTCTTGTTTATACTTTCAGCTTAGTAACTGGTTGAGTACTATTCTTGAATGTGATAAAGATATCTTTGAATAGTATTTCATGATTTTTCCTCTTAGTAGTCTTACTGTATGGAAATAAAGATTTTACCATTGTTTTTCACTCTTTCAATATTATTTGTTATGGTATTTAAGTTTTCTGGGAGTAAAGTAAATATAGAACACTTGTGCTTCTGTTAAAATTAACATTCTATGGACAGTGAAAGGCAGAAGTATTTATACAGAATATTTTAGCAGTCACAATAGTATACACATGACATAGGAAGTGTTAAACTCAGTAATAAGGACAAGAAGAGTAGATCTAGAGTTCACATTGTATCAGAGGTTTTAGAATTGCTGAATATTTCATTTGTTTAAAATATTAATAGGCCTTTAACTGATATTTGAACCATTTGGCTATTGATGTATGGGACCTTACTGGTATTATTTGTTGGTTATTGATGTGATTTGGTTGATTGGGATGAAAGATTATTTAAGAATGGTTTAAGAATTTGATGACAGTGGGGTGCCTGGGTAGCTCAGTTCGTTAAGCATCTGACTTTGGCTCAGGTCATGATCTCACAGTACATCTGTTTGATCCCCACACCTGACTCTGTGCTGACAGCTCAGAGCCTGGAATCTGCTTCAGATTCTGTGTCTCCCTTTCTGTGTCCCCCATTTGTATTCTGTCTCTCCCAAAAATAAATAAAAACATTTTTAAAAATTAAAAAAAGGAACTCTGAAGATAGTAAATTTAAGAGGTATGTATAGTTTTTTGACTGGTTCTTATATTTGTTTTGGTGGTAAGCCTGACACCTTTTAGGAAAATCAAGCCCTCTTAGGACCCCATAGTTACTTTGATTTACTTAAGTATATTATAAGCTAAACATTTAGCTTTTGGAAAGAGAAAACTATAAAAATTACGAGTAGGTTTTTTTCTTATTATGAATAAGTGTTGGATTTTCTTGTATTAATTAGAATTTAAAATGTCTGAGTAGGTGGGGCGCCTGGGTGGCTTAGTCGGTTAAGCGTCCGACTTTCACTCAGGTCATGATCTTGCGGTTCGTGGGTTCGAGCCCCGCATCGGGCTCTGTGCTGACTGCCGGCTCAGAGCCTGGAACCTGTTTCAGAGTCTGTGACTCCCTCTCTCTCTGACCCTCCCCTGCTCACGCTGTCTCTCTCTCTCTCCTAGAAATAAATAAAACATTTTTAAAAAAAAAATTTAGAATTTAAAATGTCTGCTGTTCAGTGTTGAATCAAATTCTGAAAGTAACCTTCAAAAACCTGCCTTAACTTTTTAAAATACCAGACACATACTCTTTATGTTTAATTCTAGAAAATGAATTAATTTTTAAAATGTTTACCAAAAGTTATGAATTAATTATATAAGTGAATGTTTAATTGTATATAAGTGAATGTTTAATTGTTTATAGTAAATGTCAGGCAGGAGTTAGTAGATTAGTAGGGGTTGCAGTTTATGCTGTAGTAAAAATGGATTAAAGATCATTTCTTATGACATTTCTTTTAGGGGAATTTTTAGAAAAGGTACGACAGAAAAAAAAACGTGATATCACTGTTTTGGACCTGGGATGTGGCAAAGGTGGAGATTTGCTCAAGTGGAAAAAGGGAAGAATTAATAAGCTAGTTTGTACAGGTAAGGTAAATAATGGTATGGGGAAGAATAATTTGTGATCAGTCAGGTAAATGGAAAATAAGGAGAATCTCATTATTACATGATACTAAAATATCTTATAAGAAGATATCTGGGGCTATGCGTAGATGGGTATTTTGTTTTTTAATGAATTATGATACTTTACTGATGGTATTATGCAGTGAGCCTGGTATAACTTGTCCTGTCCTCTCTGAAAGGAAGGAAGTAATCAAAGATAGAGTCCTGTCTAAAACACAAACACGGAAAGACTTCCACTGGCCAAACATAGGACAATTTCATCATCAAAAAGAATAATGATTATAGTGGATTAAAACACATCAAATAAAGGAGGGGGAAAGCCTCATTATTCACCCTTGGAGATTCCTATAGGAAACTTACTCGTCATTCTGAAATTCATAAATTAAGGAGTGGGGGCTGAGTATCTTCTTTCCTCATGCGAACTGTGTTTCAATGTAACGAAATGGTTGAAAAGGGACATCCTTCTCTACTACAAAATCCTAATGAATAAATGCAGGAGGAATGATGAAAATCACTATTTTCCACCCTTGATGAAATAATAGATCCAAGCAACAATCATAAAAGGTGCTAAATCTATTAGGTGAAAGGTTGAGGAATTTAATAACTGAGTGAATCAAGCACCTGAACCCACTGGTCAGTCTTAACACTGAAGTTGGACAAGGAAATGTTATGTTCTTCCAGTGCAATGAAGTGTACTGCACCATCTATAAAGTTACCTAAATTGACACTTCTCAAATTTTTGGTTTCATGAGCGTCATACATCTTTATTTTTAAGATTGAGGACCAGAAAGCTTTGGTGTATGTGACTATATCTATTGATTATAGAAATTAAAATTGAGAATTTAAAGAATGTTTCTTGTTCAGTAAAAAATAAAGTTTAGTGAGAAGACTAGCACTTTAAAAATATTTTTCCAAATCCCTTTAGAGTCTGGAAAAATAGAAGACAGCTAGATTTTCACACCTTTTTCTGCATTCAATGTGTTGTGATGTGTTATTTTATTTGATGTGTAATGAAGGAGTATTTTAATTTTTTAGATAATTTAGCGTATTCATCTTTGATATTATATCAAAACTCAACAGATAGTAGTTCCTTACAGATAGTTATAATGTGGCATCTGAATCTGTGTCAGTGAACTTTCTGTATTCTGTTACATTTTAATCCATTGGTCTGTCTTGCGCTTTGAATGGATCTTTTCCCTGTAAGATTTTGTAATATTTGGAAACTAATGCTCACCAAAGTTATGCAGATCTTCTAAATGTTGACATCAAGCAATCACATTTTTTTAATGTTGCCATCAATCAGCAAAGTTTTATTGGGAAGATGCCCGGCCCATGGTGGTAGATAGAAGTATTTCAAATTGTAATTTTCACTTGAAATCTCAAGTTTTGGGTAACAAATACTGTCCTTTGTTTTCCTTGAAGTGTTCATTTTCAAGAAAATGTCTGCCAAATTACCACCAGTTTATCTGTCACATTCTTTCAACTGAAAACAATTTTCTATGAAAAAAGTGGCCAGTACTGCTCACAACAGTCAAACTGGTCCTTTTCAGACTTTGTTAGGTAGCACAGGTATTCTTTTACTTTCTATTTCAACACACAGAATATTGAAAAAGAGCCGAGCTTTAATCAAATCAACTTTTAGCCGCTTTATCAAGAGCATTCTTAAATGAAATTTGGTGTTTTGGGGTTTTTTTGTCCATGCTAGTTTGTGGTGGTAAAGAAGATATTAAGTATTACATGTACCATTTGGTGTTGCTGCCTTGTATTCATGATAAGGTGCCAACATTTTACTTTTCATTGCTTTTGCACCATCAGTCCAAATCTCAACGTGGAAAAAGCAAATAACATTCTATTAAAAAAAGTAAACGATCTTTTCAGAGCTGGGCACGTAGTTTAGGTTTTATAATTCAAATTGGAGTCTAAACTTTCTACTTTAACTTGGAATAAGCATTTAAAAATAATGATAGAACTTTTCTGTTATCAGTACCTATTGAGAAGGCTTTTAATCCTTTTGAAAAGTAATGGGATATTTTCATTTGAACAGAGACTTCCTTTTGTTTTGAAGGAAATAGAGCCTCCTTGCTTTTACTAAGGGTCAGTTTGGATTAATGTCTAGATTTGTGCCATCTTTGCATTTACATTTTATCTCTGTGGGTCTTTGTTGCCAGTTACTAATGTCTGTCCCTGTCTACGTTTCAGATATCGCTGATGTTTCTGTCAAACAGTGTCAGCAGCGGTATGAGGACATGAAAAATCGTTGTCGTGATAACGAATATATTTTCAACGCAGAATTTATAACTGCTGATTGTTCAAAGGTACAGAATTTTTTTTTAATTTGTCAATTATTTTTTTTTAGACGGGAGAGAGAGAGAGCCCTTGTCAATTTATGTTTCATATTTTTCATTTGGGTAAATGATGTGTTTTTAAAATCAGTTCATTCTTTTAAAATGTGCTTTGAAACATTAAAAATCTCAAGACATGCATTTTCAGTTTCAACTAGAAATTTTATTAATGATAAATTTTCTTAAGTTACCCACTGAGTATTTCTGGAAACTTTTTGGTTTTAATAATTTGAACTTTTGAAATCACTTGTTGCTTTTCTGTTCAGACAAGATCTATTTTCCAGTATTTTGAAATAGAACTGAACTGATGTTTTGTTTACCTTGTAATTTATCAGGGTAGTTTCCCAACATATCAGAGTTTGGTACTTTCCACCTTTTTCTGAATTTCTTAACAACTGTGAAGTTTAAGAACTACAGTGGCACTTGAATAGTCAAAGTCTCACCTTGACCTTTAATACTTTGTCTGACTCATTTGCTCATTAAACTATTATAGCTATCTTTAATCCTACACATTTTGTTTGCAGCTGTGAAAGTGAGAAGGAAAAATGGTAGTGTACTGCTAGAATGTTGGAAACCTTTAAAAACACTTTTGCACATTTATAAAGTATCCCAAAGGCCAGCTTTATGTTTTTTTTAAACGTACTCTTAAAGTTACTGTTCAGCATCATTTTACTTTCGCTTTTAAGTAAAGCCTGATAAAAGCATCATCTCTTTTAAATGTCATATTTGGTTGATAAATTTTTAAACATGATTTCAGAATCCCTAGTTTTTAATTACTGTGAGAATGGGAATCAAATTATATTGAACCAGAAGCAAAGGATCATTTTATAATGGACCTTATTGTACATATTGAGAGAAAAGATAAGTGGTTGGGGGGAGCATGTCTACTTTTATTTTAAGGACCCTAATTCTACAAATTATGTTACTAAAAATTTGTTGCAAAATCTTCAAAATCTTGGCCCATTTTAATTTTTAATTTGTTTCAGGAACTTTTGATTGACAAATTTCGTGACCCAGAAATGTGCTTTGATATCTGCAGTTGTCAGTTTGTCTGCCATTACTCATTTGAGTCCTATGAGCAGGCTGACATGATGCTCAGAAATGCTTGTGAAAGACTGAACCCTGGAGGTTATTTTATTGGTACCACTCCCAATAGCTTTGAGCTGATGTAAGTACTTTTAACATATGCTTATAAGCTATTCAGAATTAAGCTTTTTTTTCATTAAGTTTATTTATTTTGAGAGGGAAAGAGAGTGAGAATATGTGCACAAATGGAGGAGGAGCAGAGAGAGAAGGAGGGCCCGATGACAGGGCTCAATCTCACGAACCGTGATAAGGGCTAAGCACTTTGATAATATATTTGAGTGGATAGTCAATATTTAAGGTCAAAGGATAGATTTACAGACGAATCTTTAAAACATTTTATGTATAAATTGGAGACTGATGCTATATCCAGCCAGAGGTTATATAGTGCTAGACAAACTCCAGATCAGATAAGCAAAGTCTTAACCAGCAGTCCTGATGGTGAAAACAATTTCCAGCCTAATTTTATGAGTGAAATTGTCAATTATCTTTTACTGTATTGCTTCTTAAAAGTAGCTCAAATCCAATTAAAAGGCTGATCATGTATCTTTTAAAAATTATATCCTATAGTTTTTTCACATGCATCAAAATAATTCTAAGCTAATAACAACTTTAATCTTTTTATTTTGTTTTGGGGATAACCTTTAACAGAAGACGCCTTGAAGTTTCAGAAACAGAATCATTTGGAAATGAGATATATACTGTGAAATTTCAGAAGAAAGGAGATTATCCTTTATTTGGTTGCAAATATGACTTCAACTTGGAAGGAGTTGTGGATGTCCCTGAATTCTTGGTCTATTTTCCATTGCTAAATGAGTAAGAATGTTATTAATCTGCTATTCTTCTCTTTGCCTTAAGAGTAAAAGAAAGGGGGGAAAAAATCAGTATTTCTGTTCATTCCTTATTTTACATAGGACCCAAAGAAAAAGTATAGCCTTGTAAAGAAAAAGAAAAAAAAAAAAAAAAAAGAACCAACCTCATATCTAGGTTTGTGCCATTGGTCTCTAATAGCCTTGTATATTTAGGTTTTTTTCATCCTTAGAATTACTTTATCCTGTAGGTAAGAAAGGAATCTTTTGCCTTCAACTTACTGACAGAAAACACCTCACACTGCAAATAGAAAAAGATTTTTTTTCAAAAACTGTTAGTAAGTTTGGTAATATAAAATGATCCTCTTTTGACAAGGATAGGTATTAAAAGTTGTTTTACATTTCACTATAGCTTTGAAATTGCCTGTGTCTCACAGGCAGTGTTGATAATAATATCCTTATTCAAGAATATATTCACTCATGCACCTCGACTTGATCAACTACAGACACAGGGGAAGTTGGGCCTTAAGGCCTTATGAGACCCCTGGGTCTTGGGTGTTTCCCTGAGAGGGAAAGTGGAAGAGTCCACTTAAATGTAATGCCATGTCACAGTTGACCAAACCTAAGTTGATTTCATAATTTCAAAAACAAGTCTTTTATTGAAGAAAAAGCTTTATTTGCTGCTTGTTTTGAGTTGGTGACTATTTGAGTTGTGCCTCAGTCAAAATTATAGATGCAAGATTTTTAGGATTCTACAATATATAAAAATTTTATACAACATTATGAGAAAATTAAGTAGCATGGGATTGAATGTGAAAACAATGTTATATACAATATATATGTATGTAAACTGTAAAATTTAAAACTTTAAATCACCTTTTTCCCTCTTAACATTAGTAAACTCTTGTGAAATGTTTCTGCTCTTCCTAAAAGAAGAAATTAAATGCTTTTAGTATGTCATTTCATATGTTTAGTATGTTAGGTTGATGTTTTTGGTTAACAAAGTTGGTAATTTGAGTAGAACCAAAAAGATAAAGGCTATAATGAAAGGTTTTTTTTAATGCTAAGGAAGAACTAGCCATCTTTTGTACTTAAATTGCTTAATGGTGATGCACAGATAGTGTCAAGTCATCCCTATAATAACCTAAATTTTAAAAAAATTACTAAAACAGAGGTATACATTCAGTGGGACAGTCTAAAAATGCACAGGATTTTGAGATGTCCTTTTGCCATTTTATTAAGACACTGATTAAAAAATATAATTAGCTTTTATATGGCAAACCTATTCAGATTGGTCAAACTGAGTCTCAGTTCTTTGTAAATACAGTATTTCTCAGGCATAAAACTTGGTTTTATTTCTAAAGGTTTATTTTATAGATTTAAGAGAGAAAATGAACTGCCTAGAATAGAAGAGACTCTTTTCTTTGCGCATGTTGTCTTTCCAAGGAGGGCTAATTCACATTATGGGGAGGCCTTGCATGTGCCTCTTAGGTACAGATCCGGTGGCTCTCAAATGTTTCGTTTCACATTGTTCCCTCAACTGTTACCTCCCAAGCCTTCTCATGGACCCTCTCAGAGTTATTTTCCCTTCATCTCTTCCTTTGCTGCCTGAGATCATGTATAAATTTTGATATATAAACATAAATTTTAACAACTGCAGTGAGGGAAAAAACCAAGTATAACAGGGAGACCTAATGTAATTGAGGATTTAAGGAATCCACCTAGGAAGAAGTGATATTTAAGTCAACATCTAAAGGATGTATAGAAGTTGGCCAGTTGAAGACTAGAAGGGAAGAAAATGTTCCAGGTATAAGGGATAATATGTATGAAGACCCTGAAATGGGAAAGGGCTTGGCTCTTTCAAGGAGCTAAAGGAAGCTCATTGTGTGGGTCATAAGGAAATCAGGGCCCAAGTTGCTCAAGATAAGGAACATTTTCCTTTTTTTTTTTTTTTTTTTTTCTTAAAGTAAGCTCTACACCCACTATGGGACTCGAACTCACAACCCCAAGACCAAGAGTTGTATGCTCTACTAACTGGGCCAACCTGGTGCCCTGAGGCAGCATTCCTTTATAGATGAGTGCCTTAGTGGCCATGCTGAAGCCTTTTGAATTTTGTGCTGGAGATCCAGTGACAGGAATAAAGGGGGAAAGTGACAAGCATGTATTTTTGAAAGCTCAATCTGGCTATAGTTGGACTATTCATTGAGGGAGAGTAAGAATAGAAGCATGGAAACAAGTGAAGTAGTACAGCTGGGTGGTGGAGGTGGTTAAAGCAAGATGGTGGCCAATGAAGGGTTAAGAAGACCTATTTGAAGTACATTTTATAGGTAAACAGAGAGGATGTAGTGTTGTGTTGAACATAGCGGACATTGGCAAAAAGAGGCAGAGGCATGGAGAACTCTGAGGTTTCTGGCATGAATCATTAGATGGATTTACTGAAATAAAGATTGGCAGAATGGTCTAGTGAGGTTCAGCCTTGGATTTGAAAGTTAGGGAATTCCTCTGACACATCCTGGTGGAGATTTCTAGGAAGCAGTGAAATAAATGAATGACAAGAGAGAGCTGAACTACAGATAGCTGTTGGCATGCTGTGTAAAGTCAGGGAAGAGAAAATGAGTAAGGCTCTGGGCCAAACTCTTCAGAACATTAAAATTTTCAAGATGGGTAAAAAAAATATGTAAAACAAACTGTGAAGAAGCAGCTGAAGATGTAGTATAAAAATTAATAGTGTATCATGACAGAGAATCCAAGAGATGAAAGAGAATATTTTAAGAAGGAATGGCAACTATTTTCAATGCCACTGTGAGGGATTAAGTTAAATAAATGGAATTGATAGAAAAATGTTCCTTACAGCTTTCATCCCTGTTTCACAGCCTTTCTTTTTATTTCCTGACCCATTTATTACAGTAATAGAGTTACCTGTGACCCACTGAGATTGAGAATGCATGTTTTCTTACAGATGTAATTATTGGTATGTTGCTCTTTGTTTTTGATCATCCTATTGTGAATTTATAATGATAGCTTTTTTGGTGATGCCCAGAACTTTTTACTGTTGTGTGAAAGTAGACTATCGAGGAATTATAAATATTGTGGAAGCATTTTCATTAAGTAATCTATTTTGGACAGAATGGCAAAGAAGTACAATATGAAACTAGTCTACAAAAAAACATTTCTGGAATTCTATGAAGAAAAGATTAAGAACAATGAAAATAAAATGCTGTTAAAACGAATGCAGGCCCTGGAGGTAAGTATTTAGAAATGGTGTAAATATTCTAGGTCATGATAAACTTGTTTGACTGTTTCTGAGGTTCCTTTCAAGGCCATATAGATGCTCAATATTTATATAAATCACACAGATTATTTTTAACTACTCTAGACGCTCCAGCACCCAGGACAGAGCTTATTACAGGAACTTTCCTTGAATGAATAAATGAATGGCTCTGTCATCAAATTCTGTTTTCTAGATAGACTGTTTTAAAATAGGGTTTCTTAACCTCAAGATTATTGACATTTTGGACTGGGTAATTTCTTTGTTGTGAGAGGCTGTTCTATTCACAAGATGTTGAACATCATCTCTTGCATCTATGCACTAAATGTCAGTAGTACCCCAGCCCCTAGTTGTGAGCCAAAAATGACTCCAGACATTACCAAATATCCCCTGAGATGCAGGATTACATTACATCTTCACAATAATGCCCTTTGGTTACATTAGTAATTTAAAATCTTCCTGGCCAGGTTCTAAGGTGAGCTCATACCATGCCTAATTTTGTTCTTTGGTGACTGTCTAGCAAGATTCAGGTCTTTTAGACAGTATTGTTGCTGAGACCTGCTTTAACCCCTGGATTCCTCTCTGCTTTCCCAAATTGCAGCAATGATAGCTTCTATACAAGTTTTAAATACAGTGTACAGCTATTGACTCATTAGTTTTTATTATGTCCTTTTTCAGTATTTAATGAGATCTGAAGTAGTCAGTGAACATTATTGTTAATATCAACAGGATCATATTACTCAAATGGTTATTAAAGTTCTTTAGAGAGTTCATTCAACTTAGAATATTTTTTAAAATCCTGCAAGCATACTCTTTCTTACTTAGCTAATTACCCAAGGAAGTAGGCAAAATAATCCCCTTCCACATTTTAAAATGGGCCATCTTAGGCTCAGAGAGGATACATGACCTTTTCAAGGTCACAAAGCTATAAACCTTAAGATATTCTTTAGTCTTTATAGGTGGTTTTCAAACAAAAATCTCCTGCTGTAATTGCATCCATACAACTTTCCCAATTTTGAGTGTAAGAGTTCTCTTTAAATCCTAAGTTATAGTTTGAAACCACTAACCACTAAAATGCTACATTCTTCATTGGTTGTATTTCCTATATTTTAGAATTAAGAATATTTGTATTTGCTTTATATTAGCAGAAGTTTGTTTTTGTTTTGAGGGAAAAAAGTAGAATATATATGTGTACACAAATCACCACACGCACATGCCTGTAGTTTTTCATCCCTAACTGGGTGGTGGTTTGCATGTGCAATGATCAGTTATTTATACTGTTCTCTTAGCATGTAGGTAGTGAGTTGATAAGTGTAATTTTTTTGAAATTATATGTGGAGAATGGAATATGAGATAGCAGGGTCCCCTTCCTTGAAGGATCTTATGGTATATTGAGGAGATAAACATTCAAGCAAATTATTCAGGACAACATGAGAATTGCAGTAATGAAATACTCAAGTGCAGTGCGTATATGAAGGGGTCTTTTTGTGAAATCAGTAAACTAAGAGTGAAGGCAGAGAAGCAGGAAAGAGCAGGGGATGTTTGAAGAAGTATGAAAACCTTTGGCACAGTGATTCTCCAGTCTTCCTTCTCCACTGGTGTTGCCTTTAAGGATATGACCTATCCCTCTGAGGACATTCATGAATGTAATACCGTGTAGTTTAAAAAAGTCCTTTGGTTTTTCCTACTTCTTCACCAAGGCACTTCTGCAAGTCTATAAAGGACTTTGAGCAGGAGAGGACATGTCCCACGAGTGGGAACATGACTCAGGTGGCAGTATGGAGGATGGTTTGGAGGGATGTGAAGACCAGAGACAGAAAGAGCAATCAGGATGCTAATTGTTTTAGTCTCTGTCGGAGATTTAAATGGATATGTTTTCTGATGTTTGCTATAAAAAATTTTTTCCCTAAAGCCGTCAGGCTTGAGCTGACCTAGACTTTCAGCAAAAGTCTAGGTATATTGAGGAATAAACATTTTATCTCCTCAATCTACCCTCACTTTGCTCTCCTAGAGTCCTGTAGCAGAGGGAAAGAAGAATCAAAAGACTCAAGTCAGGGCACTGTGGTTATAAAATCCTGACACCAGTTTTCTTTTCTCTCACCTGTTTTGAAAAAAGTAATCGGTTTTGCAGCTTTATAATCATATGTTATTTGGCCTTTTAAAGTGATTGAGAGGGGAGAGAGATTATATGTCCACTGACAGGCAGATAATCACACGGAGGAATCTTATACTGATACGTTGAAGAGCAAATTTACAACAGAATAGTTTGCAGTCATTCACATTAAAGTTTTGAAGATTTGTAATATGAAACCACAAGATGTGGGATTAAAGTTTCAAAAACACTTAATAAGTGATGTTTTTTATATCCCTTGTATTAAGATACATATAAAGTAAGGTTGCAAATTATAGCAATATGGGACTCCAAAAAGCTAAGTACTTTTTTGATAGCAAACAACCAAATTTCTAATGTCTAAGCTTGCTGTGGGATGATTATACTTAGAAAGGGGAAAAAGGAAGATAGCAAAGTAGACATTCCTGGATCATTTTCTTTTCTTTTAATGTTTGTTTATTTTTGAGAGAGAGGGAAAGAGCTCATGTGTGCCAAGAACTGGGGAGGGGCAGAGAGAGGGAGACAGAGTATCTGCAGCAGGCTCTGTGCTGACAGCAGAGAGCCAGATGTGGTGTTCGAACTCATAAGCCCTGAGATCATAACCTGAGCTGAAGTCAGATGCTTAACTGAATGAACCACCCAGGCGCCCCTGGAGCATTTTCTTAAAAATTCATTAGGTAAGATGTAGGTCTGAAGTGATGCGTTGCTGGCTGGTTTCTTGTAAAAAGACAAAGGAATTATAATATATAACCTTTGTAGAGTAGGTGGTTAAATATTATGTATTCTGTGTAGTTCATTATGGTTTCATTTACATTTTTTACAAAGCATCACACTTCATAGTATAAAAGGGTGTTACTTGAAATGGATTAAAAATAGCACTGAGGGACACCTGGGTGGCTCAGTCGGTTAAGCATCCGACTTTCACTCAGGTCATGATCTCACAGTTCATGGGTTTGAGCCCCGTGTCGGGCTCTGTGCTGACTGCCAGCTCAGAGACTGGAGCCTGTTTCGGATTCTGTGTCTCCCTCTCTCTCTCTGACCCTCCCCTGCTCATGCTGTCTCTCTCCCTCTCTCAGAAATAAATAAAAAACATTTAAAAAAAATAACACTGAAAATAATTTGAATGAACATTTGGCCAGCATAGCCTTAAAAACAGCATTTTTGTGCATGGGTAGCCCTTCTTCAAATTCTCAGGGAAATATGTAGACTGCCTGTGTTTTGGAAGCTGGATCATTTTCCTTACTTTCTTGAACTCACAGGGTTTTCTGTTAATTTGAGTTTTTGATATGTATTTTTACGTTTTTATTTTAATCACCCGGTGTTCATCAGAACAAGTGCACTCCTTACCCATACCCTATTCCACCCATCTCCCCACTCCTCACCTCCCCTCAGGTAACCATCAGTTCTCTATATGGAGTCTTTTTCTTATTTTACTTCTTCCTTACCGATGCCTTTTAATCCTTTTTATTTTTTGGTTGCTGTGGGTAGGACTTCTCATTCTATGCTGAATAAAAATGGTGAGAGTAGACATCCTTCTCTTGTTCCTTGTTTCTTAGGGGAAAGGCTTTCAGTTTTCCCATTAAGAATGATGTTAACTGGATTTTTCATATATGGCCTTTACTATGTTGAGGTATGTTCCCTCTAAACTTACTTTGTTGAGGGTTTTTATCATGCATGGATGTTGTACTTTGTAAGATACTTTCCTGTGTCTCTGAAATGATCATATGGTTTTTATCCTTTCTCTTATGTGATGTATCATAATTGATTCATGAATATTGAGCCACCCTTGCAGCCCAGTAATAAATCCCACTTGATTCTGGTGAATGCTTTTTTTATACTCCCTGTTAGTTGGACTTGGTTTGCTAGTATTTTGTTGAGGATTTTTGCATCTATGTTCATCAGAGATAGTGGTCTACAGTTCTCTCTTTTATGGTGTCTTTATCTGATTTTGGCATCAGGGCAGTGCTGGCCTCATAGAATGAATTTGGAAGTTTTCTTTTTTCTTTCCTTTCTTTTTTTGGTGGAGGGGGAATAGTTTCAGAAGTATAGATTTTAACTCTTCTTTAAATGTTTGGTAGAATTCGCCTATGAGACTACCTGTCCTGCACTTTTGTTTGTTGGGAGTTTTTTGATTACTGATTCAGTTTCTTTGCAGATTATCAGTCTGTTCATACTTTCTATTTCTTCCTTTTTCAGTTTGGTAATTTATATGTTTCTGGAACTTTATCCATTTCTTCTAGGTTATCCCAATTTGTTGTCCCAATTTGTTGTTCCATTAGGTTCTCTTATATTTTATGTTTGTATTTATATCAATTTTACTGATTTTTTTCAAAGAACCAGCTCCTGGTTTCTTTGATCTATGTTTTTTTAGTTTCTATATGATTTATTTCTGGTCTAATCTTTATTATTCCCTTCCTTCTGCTGATTTTAGATTTCATGTGTTGTTCTTTCTCTAGGTCCTTTAGGTGTAAGGTTAGGTTGTTTATTTGAGATTTTTCTGTATTGCTATAAACTTCCCTGTTAGAACCTCCTTTGTTGCATCCCAAAAGTTTTGAATCATTGCGTGTTCACTTTCATTTTTTCCATATACTGTTTTTATTCTTTTATTTACTGGTTAACCCATTGTTTAGTAGCATATTATTTAACATCTTTGTATTTGTGGTCTTTCCAGATCTTTTCTTGTGCTTGACTTCTGGTTTCATAGTGTTGTGTTCAGAAAAGGTACATGGTATGATTTCTGTTTTTTTGAATTTGTTGAGGCTTGTTCTGTGGCCTAAGTGTGATCTGTTCTAAAAGAATATTCCATGTGCACCTGAAAAGAATGTGCATTCTGCTGTTTTAGGATGGAATGTCCTGAATATATCTGTTAAATCCATCTGGTCCAGTGTGTCATTCAAAGTCATTGTTTCCTTGTTGATTTTCTGTTTAGATGATCTGTCCGTTGATGGAGGTAGGATGTCGAAGTCCCTGACTATGATTGTATTATTACCAGTTAGTTCTTTTATATCTGTTATAGTTTCATGTATTTGGGTGCATTCATATTGGGGCTATAAATATTTACAATCGTTCTACCTTCATAATTGTCCCTTTTATTATCTAGTGTCCTTCTTGGCCTCTTGTCACAGTTTTTGTTTTAAAATATATTTTGTATGGGGCGCCTGGGTGGCTTAGTCGGTTGGGCGTCCGACTTTCGCTTAGGTCATGATCTCGTGGTTCGTGGGTTCGAGCCCCGCGTCGGGCTCTGTGCTGACACCCAGCTCAGAGCCTGGAGCCTGTTTCAGAGTCTGTGTCTCCCTCTCTCTTTCCCCCTCCCCTGCTCACGCTGTCTCTCTCTCTCTCTCTCCTAGAAATAAATAAAAATATTAAAAAAAAAAAAAAATATATATATATATATATTTTTTGTGTGTTGTAAGTATTGCTACCCCAGCAGTCTTTTGACCTCCATTTTCATGATAAATGTTTCTCCATCCCCTCATTCTCAGTCTGCATTCTTAGGTCTAAAATGAGTCTCCCATTTTTTGTTGTTGTTTATTTTAGAGAGTGCCAGTGGGCTAGGGGCAAAGGGTGAGAGAGAGAATCTCAAGCAGGCTCCCACTCACCATGGAGCCTGATGGCAGAGTTTGATCCCATGACCTTGGGATCATGACTTGAACCAAAATCAGGAGTTGGACCCTCAACTGACTGAGCCACCCAGGCACCCTGGGTCCTGTTTTTTTATCCATTCTCTCACCCTGTGTCTTTTAATTGAAGTGTTTAGTCCATTTACAAATGGAGTACTTAGACCATTTACATTCAAATTATTGATAGATATGTATTTATTGCCATTTTATTACTTGTATTGTGGTTGTTTCTGGAGATTTTCCCTGATCTTTTCATATCTTTTTCAGGGCTTGCTGGTTTTCTTTAGTGATATATTTGGATTTCTTTGTCTTTATTCTTTGTTTATTTATTAGTAGTTTTTTATTTGTGCTTACCATTAGGTTTTTATATAACATCTTCCGTATGTAGCATTCTGTATTAAATTAATGGTCATTTGAGTTTGAACCCATTCTTTATTCCTCTCCTCCCCACGTTTTAGGTATATATCTTTACATCCTTTTATTTTGTGAGTTTCTTGACTGAGTTTTTACAGAAATACTAATAAATACTAATTTTCACTGCTTTTGTGTTTCCTATCTTCATACTCTCATTTTTGGTCTTTCCACTTTAGGAGTAGAGTCCCCTTGACTATTTCTTGGTGAGCTGGTTTAGTGATCATGAACTCCTTTAGTTTTCATCAGGAAACTATCTTTCCTTCTTTTTCCTTCTCCTTTTGTCTAAGTCTCTGTGTATTAGGAAAGTCAGCTGTATCTCCTGTTCTTGAGCATAATGGCTTTAGGAAGGACAAGTTCTGTAGTACCCCACTGTATAGTGTCCCCTGGGCCCCTGGCACTTCCAGGAATATCTCCATTGTGTGCTGTGTATGCTCTACTAATGTGTCCTGGTCTTTTTAACCTTCACACCAGTCATTTGCAGAGGTTTTCTTTTCCTGTTAAGAGCAAGGTTTGTTCCCTAGCCTGAATGTGGGACATTTTATGTAGGTGTGCTCTGGTCTGCTTGTGAAATGGGACCTCTTGCCACTGCTGCTGGAACCAAGGCCTTGCAGAACTCATGGGTAGGGAGGTGCAGTGTGGGCAGGGGTTTGGGCTGCCCTTTCTGCGAAAGGGGGTCCCGCCTCACTGGGACTAAAGCAAGCGTGACTGAGAAGGGTGGTTCCACTAGAGTGTAGGCAGGGCAAGACTTGGTGTAAGAAGTTAGGTAGTAAGTGTTGGAGTCCATTGGTTCCTGCAGATGGCTCTGTCTTTATGCTGAGGGATGGGGGAAGGAAATGGTGCCAGCCAGTTCCCTGTTCCCTTAAGGGTCTCTTTGTGAACACAGTCTCTCTGGGATACAACTAACCTCCCCTCTGTGTGCTCCAGGCAATTTTTAGATGACTGTTTCCATACTGTATGTCTGCATACAGTGCTGCTTTGCCCTGCCTTTTCTCCAGTAGCAGGTTCAGTGTCCTCTGAGCTCTCCCAGAGCCAAGCATGCTGACCTTTAAAACTCCAGGCTTTAAACCCCACTGGTTGTACTCATAAAATTCAGGCCCTATTTCCAAGCCAATTGCTATGGGCATTTGTTCTTCCTGTGCATTCCCTGTGTGTTGGTCTGTCCCTTGCCCCTTTCCACGACTACGGCTCCCTCCGCACCTGAGCAGCCACTGTTGGTTTCTCTCCCAGACCATGTCTCTGCACTTTTTACCTTCACTGTGGCCCCTTCTCTACTTTAGTTTTGCAGTTTGTTTTGCCAGTCTTCAGATTGATTTCTGGGGTATTTAGGATGATTTGATAGTTACTTAGTTGTATTCATGGGACAAGGCAAACCTAAGGGCCTCTCTCTCTCCACCAGCATATTTCCTCCCGGCATTTTGAATTTTTCATCTGTATTCTAATTTCTGTTCATGCTTCTGATGGCTGTTATATCACCATAATGTTTAAATTAATATTTAGCTCTTTTGGTCATAACTTCCTTCAGCTTTGTGTTATAACAGAAAAACTCTTTCACTGGGAGTCAGGGAGATGCAAGTGTTTGCTGCTAAGTGGACTTTGGAGGTAATTAAGTAAATGGTACCGTTTTGTCCAACTGTAAATATCCTATGATTATCACCAAAGTTGACCATAACAGCTGCTTTATTAGGAGAGGACTCCCTTCACCCATTTTTTTTTCACATTTGAAAAGTATGTTTAGTTTGTATTCCTGAAATAATACGTAAGGATTTTCTTAAGTATTTTATTTTATTGATTTAGTGTTTTTAATTCCAAATTGTAAGTTTCATTTAATTGCCTAACTAGGAATCTCACTTGCTTCCCTAGCCATATCCTGCAAACGAGAATTCCAAACTTGCTTCTGAGAAGGTGGATGACTATGAACATGCAGCAGAGTACATGAAGAACAGTCAAGTAAGATTACCTTTGGTAAGTTTTCATTTGTAGCATGTTTTATAGAAAATGAAAAAAAAGCGTATAGTATATGGAAACTTATGAAATTATTTCATTGGTTTACAAATCACATACATGTTAGTCTCTTTCCCCTTTTTATAGCCATGGAATATAAAATACAGTGTATTTCAGTTCTGAGAATTGAGTCCTATTTCTGAGGCAGTAAGGATGGGGAGAAAGTTACAAGCTTGATTGAAGAGTTCCTTGCTATATCATTATATCTTAACCTGGGCACTGCTGATTCAGTGTGTTCCATAGATAAAATTCAGGAGCCCATGAACTTTCATGGAGAAAAATTACATCTCCATTTTCAACAACTTCTGCATGCGAGTTCACATTTTCTTTCATTAAGAATGCAACAGTACCATAGCGGTATTAGATATAGCTGTGACTGTCATCAATAGAAATTACAGATATTTGCATAACACGTTTCTGCAGACATCTGAAGAGTGTTGTTTACATTTATCACTTCCTCAAAATCACATTAGTTACTGGAATGGCCACTCTATCTTGTTAGTCTAAGGTCGTGGGCAAAGTCATGGGCACATACATTACTATATCAATGTGTCTTTTAGTATTTTTGTAACTTTAAAATATAATTTATTTCCTTTGTATGATATGTATTTTATGATTTCTTTGTAAAAACACAAAAATCTTATGTCCTCCTACAATGCTATTGGATGTTTTAAGAGAGGCTTTTTAATGTTTTTTTTTTTCATTTTCCAAGTTAAAAATATAAAATCGATGCTTTTTCCAATTATACACACACACACACACACAAATACCCTCTTTACATGAATTCACCCTTTGGTTGAGAATCTGTAGTTTAGAGAATTAGGCAGAGGAGCAAAATTGAGAGGATAACATTAAAGTCTCATTGACTTTTTTTGATATATTTAGATCACAGTAATATTAACAGTAAATTATGTGTACAGTTGACCCTTGAACAATGTGGGTTTTGGGGTGCTGACTCCCCATGCAGTCAGAAGTAAGCCAATAACTTTTGATTCCCCAAAATGTAACTACTAATAGCCAACTGTTGACTAGAAGCCTTACCAATAACATGATCAGTTAATACGTATTTTGTATGTTATATGTATTGTATACTATATTCTTATAGAAATGTAAACTAGAGAAAAGAAATATTATTTAAAAATCATAAGGAAGAGGAAAAACATTTACAGTATGGATTTATTGAAAAAAATCCACATATAAGTATACCTACACAGTTCAAACCTGTGTTGTTCAAGGGTCAACATATATTTATAGTGAAGGCAGGGTTGTTTGGGCACTTCTGCCCATTATTGAAAAATGTATTCATGTACTTCCATATTCAATCTAAAATGTTCTCTCTCTCTCTCTCTCTCTCTCTTTCTCTTTTTTCTTAGGGAACCTTAAGTAAGTCAGAGTGGGAAGCCACAAGTGAGTATACCGTCAGTGTAGATTTACAGATTTTCAAAGATTGTTTCAGAGTAATCATTAAAATTTGAAAACTTTGGAATTTTTTAACGTACATTAGGGGGTGTGTTTATGTTTACACAGAATCCCTATATGTCTACTCACTCTTTCTTGCACAGCTGTTTAGTGCCAAGAGAAAATATATGCAGGATGTTCCTTAACATAAATTTTCATGAGCATTCCTTTTTTTTTTTTTTTTTTTTAAGTTTATTTATTTTGGGAGAGACAGTGTGAGTGAGGAAGGGGCAGAGAAAGAGGAGAGAGATAATCCCAAGCAGGCTCTGCACTGCCTGTGCTGAGCCTGATGCAGGGCTCCAACCCGCAAAGCTGTGACATCATGACCTGAGCCGAAATCAGGAGTCAGTAGCTTAACCAACTGAGCCACCCAGGCACCCCTAACATTCTTAATTAAACATTTTCATTACCTGCTTGTTACTACTAGCCATCTGTATTTGCTGTTTTTACCTCAGACTTCTGTTGGAAATTTTGGCTAATGGAACACTTCGATGTATTTTGTTTCTAGCCACTCTGATGTCAACACTCTGATGTCAACACTCTGATGTTGACAACAAAGGGCATGGTTAGTAAGTACAAGAACATTTATTTAGTGAAGCAGCAACAAGCAGGATATTTTAGAAGGATGTGTGATTGGGAAGGGCCTGGTATAGAGACATTCTGAAGTGTGCCTGTCTTTGGAAGAGAAGTCAGAGGTCTGGCAAATCTGTGAAGTCTGTGGTTCTTCAGCAAATAGATGCTGAGGAAGGCAGCACCCAGGACCTCAGTGTTAAGATGATAAGACCCTTACGTTGCTGCTGCCCTGAGGACATCAAAGGTAGTTCCCACTGTTCATTTAAGTATTTGTTGATGATGTTGAAGGCATAAGTGGTAATCAGAGACAATCTATTTGATAAATGTTGAGTATTAACTTATATAAAGTTCTGTGAAAGGGCTTTGAGGAATAAACAGAGTAAGCAGTTGCAGTCTCTACTTTCCAGATGTTTACAATCTGATGGAAGAAACAGACACAAATAAATGCAGTGCTGGGCAAACTGGTTTAAGTGCTGAAGTTCCTTTAATAGGGGAAATAGCTGTAGGAGAGCCTAAGGAAAAGTAGTAAAATCTGAGAAATAATAATAGTTGGTATAACTGAATATTTAACATGTGCTCAAGCATGACTAGAGCCCTTTCCTGTGTTGTAACTCATTTAGTCCTCACAACTTTAAGGGTAGACTAGTCTTACTAATATCTCCTTTTCATAGATAAGATAGCACTTAAATAACTTGTCTGAGGTCACAGAACTAACCCAAATGATTCATACTTGTACCTATGGCTTCATGGAAGCCTCTGTGAAGGGATTTTTCTTAGGACTTGAGGAATTGGAGAGAGAAGAGAAGAAAAGAATACAAACAGAACCAACACGTTGAGCCTATTCGTGTCAGAATATTGGTGCCTTTAGTGGAAATGGGATTAGAGGACCAGCAGACTGAGAAATGTGTGCCTAAACCTGTACTTTTCCTAGAGTTGAGACTTAGATATCTTGCCAGTCCTAAAGTTTGATGTAAGGAAAACAGCTTTGGTCACAGGGCATGATGGTGACTATAGCAAGTACTGCTATAGTTTAGAACTGTATTTCTGTACCTCAGTGCGGACTTTAGTGATAGCATGCAGATGAAGAATTAGATGCCCACAGACAGCGGAGGGAGAGATGGATTAGAGACGTGAAAAGCAGTAGGAAAGGAGCATGGCCAAGATCTAGCATGTCAGGATCAGTGTGGCCTTTCATGAATTACACTCTAAACTAGAGGGCTTTGTGGGCTGGAGTCACAGTCTAATAAGTAGAAGAAGCTATACTTCAAACTCCTATTTTTCTAATTAAGCTCCTGTTACCAGAACCTGCTACTCCTCTAGAAGATTCTTTAAATGTGAAAGGAAAGTAGAGAATTGTTGCTTATTTGCTTTTAGAAGTGGTTCAAGATTTATTTCTTTAAATTCCAATTGAAATGCCTGCACAGAAGGCATTTTAGAGAGGGAAGAAAGTTATTGTCAATCTGAAGTCAGACACTGCATCTTAGTGGTTTTAGTGACCTAGATTTAGGGAAGGTCAAGGTACCAGTGTGTTTGGGGTGGGTTGGACTGCAGAAAGATCACTTGGGGCAAGCTAAGTAACGCTGCCTGCTCCTAAGTCTTGTGAAATATTTACGGATATCTTAGACTGCTTCCTTGTCATCTGGAAGAAATCTGCTGTGTTGATGTCACCCTGACTGTTCTCTGTCCATCTTTCTACTGTGTTGCCAGGAATATCTCATTTCTTTCTTTTTAAGTTTCTTTCTTTTGAAAGAGAGAATGAGCAAATGAAGGGCAGAGAGAAAGGGGGACAGAGGATCCAAAGTGGGGCTTGAATTCACAAGCCGTGACATCATGACCTGGGCTGAAGTCAGATTCCTAACCAACTGAGCCACCCAGGTGCCCCAGTATTTCATTTCTCTTAAAAGAAATTAGGAACCAATAGATAAGAAACAGAGAATAGTAATGCCAAAGTAGCATTTTGGAAGGACTGGTGTGGTACTCCTGAACAGGTTGAGTAAAAAGCTAGAGGATCAGGGGTTCTTTCATGGTATGTAGTTATTCATCTGTACCCCATTCAGAAGTTAATTCGTGAAGGGAGGACACCAAGGTACATGGCCTACTATCTTGACTCACTGGCTGAGTGTCCTAGCATATGCCCTGAGCATCCTTGCAATGTTTTGAGGATTTATCTTTTTTTAGATGTTTGCTCACCATAAAATCTATTGATATCTTAGAAGATATAACAGATTTGAACTTCACTGTGATCCAGAATGAGGAGCCGTAGACACACTCAAGGTGTCTTTGAGTAAACACACAGCCAAAGCAGGAAACCATATTTAAAGGAGAGTATTATTGGGGCTGGAACATCACTGTTGGGGCCAGATAAATATCTCTAAGCATCAGTTATCAGGATCATAATTATCAGTTATGTAGCAAAAGCTACATAGCTTTTGGCTTCCTTGTCAGGCCCTACAACACAAAATTGGATAGGTGGATAGATTTTAACATGCACGTCATGTATGTTCCTTATAATTCTTAACTAGTGTTTTACTGAATAGAGAGCCACTACCAGAAGTCCTCAAGGTAGTGCGGCTATTCTACCCGTCTCACTCCAGACAGAAAGAATTCAGTTTTAAGATTTTTTTAATTTTAATTTTCTTTGTTTTATACTTTTAATTTTTCTTATCTCAAACTGGTTTTAGAACTGTTTAGAGCTGTTGAATTGGTTTTCTCAAGAGCTATAATGTCACTTAGTATTACAGTAAGTGGATATTTTCAGGTAAACAGATATAATCCCATAGCTGCTTAAATATGACTCAAAATAATTGAGGACCCTTAGAAGTAATGGGACTTTTCCCTTCAGAAGCTTGAAAATTTTCCCCAAATTATGAACAGGACTGAAATTGTACTGTTTAGCCTGACCATATGAGAAACCAAACTCTCATTTTTATTATTTTCTTTTTAGGTATTTACTTGGTCTTTGCATTTGAGAAGCAGCAGTGAGCACATAATGCAGTAGCCCCCAGGACAGCTGTGGCCCGTCCTGTACAGATTTGCGTGATCCGTCCTAGATCTGACAACTTTGTTTGTTTGTTTGTTTTAATTAGTCTAAATGTGCAGGATGCTGCCGGAAACTCCAGTGTGTAAATTCAACATTTGCTGTCTGTGACAGATGGACTTTGGTGTGTGTAAATAAGAATGAGTTGGGACCTTCGTCTTTAAAAATCTATTTTTAAGTAATGTTCTAAGAATTCCATTTGCCTCTCTTAGTGCATAAAAATTATAATATGACTTGTTAAAGCTGCTGGACCCTTTCCACAGTGCTCTGATTTGTTCAATGTTTGTTTATAGTATTAAATTTATTGTAGTTGTAGAATTGATGAGGGAGCATACTGGTTTGCAAGGGGGGTGTGCTCATTTCTGTAGTTTTGTTATATAGTGTTTTTCAAGATTACATGGATTGTGTTCTGTACAACTGAATGTGTTCAGTATACATCGCTAAAGTTACAAGTTTAAAACAAAATTGTAGATGACCATAAAGTTATTTACCTAGAATTTTAGCCAGTTATTACATTTCATTATAAATATTAACTATTTTATTTGCTAACACTATCTAATTCTGGAACTGTTTAGAACGTTTTAGGTGCCAACATAAAATTGTTTTGGACATTAGGGGCTTTATCTTAAAAATCTCCTTCCATGGCAATTAATGCTTCTTGTTATCAAGAACGTAATTAGACAGATTTCCTTTACTTCATAAAGCAAAAATGCCATAGTTGTTTTTCTCAAGATTTAATGAACCTGCCCCTAGTGCACCTGCTGCACATTTTCCTCAGATTTATGTATGGAACTGCAGTAGGAGGATGTGACTACAGGAAACTGACAAGCAGACTTCAGATGCTAATGTCAGAGAGATTACGGCACCGTATGCTGTCCCCTTCAGCCCAGAGAGAAGCAGTACTGGTTCTTCTATTACAACGTACTTTGCACAGTAGGATACAGCATCTTACCACCATTCAGAATTTGTATTTGCCATTTCAGAACTGTTACTGTTTTCGGCTTCTTGCTTGACTCCTCTCCCAACAGACACCTGGTGAACAGTTGTCCTTTATGTAACTGTTGAAAAAACTTGCCAGTGTTTAGGTAGTGAAAACCTTACAGAGAACAAAGCAGAGCAATTATCGCATATTCTTTTAAAAATCGTTTATTTAATGGCACGGGTTTAAAAGTTACCACTTTCTGTAACTATCCAGAGTACTTGTTTAAAAGGTAAAGTTTCTTAATTTGTTTATATATATTGATTATTAGAGTTAGAGTGTTAGAGTAATAGACCTTTTAACAAGAGAACACGGGTTCCCTAATTTCTGTTCCTTGTGCAATCTGTCAACCTCCAAACTATTACCAGTTTATAAAAATTAAGTCTTTTTGCCTTATGCAGTGGTTTGCCATAGTCGTTTGGAGACATAAATAATAGTACTTCTGACCGTGGTGGCTGCTGTTAGCTAACAGGTTTGGTAATGGTGCTGGGGACGTAGGGATGGTGAGCTCTTAGTGTGCTATATCCAGGTTCATTTCAGTTCTGGGGTAGGTATCAGAAAGCATTTTGATAGTTCAATAGAGGTGTAAAGCTTCTTTATCATTTCCTATCATCATTCTCATTTAATGGTCTTAGTTAATTTTAAGCAAGTAATAAAACATTTTTAGCCTCCTGCTCTTTTCATTCCATGATGATTTGTGGGAGAAAAGGATCCCGCTGAAGGATGGAGTGATTGGTGGTGATACAAAGCAGAAAAGGAAGGTGGAGTCCCTGGAGCTTTCACTGAAGGGGTAGAAAGGAGCAAAGAAAACCCAAGTGGATTGAGCAGATCTCTTCAGTCTGCACAAGCAAGCCGTTGTGTTTGCAGGAGGCACACAGAGCCATACCCAGAGGATGCAGAGTTCTAGCATTTCCCTTGCCCTTGAACTTTGTTGGTCTCATGGCCACCTCTGCTCTTCCCCGCACCCCACCCCCCTACTCCCTGATACGTTCCTGCTGCAGCTAAGTGTCTGGGCAGTGACTCAGGGATAACTGTTAGGAAAAGGTGGATCCTGACCATCATCTCCCATCACCAAGGTAAAAGCTGGGAGGACTTAGCACCGCCTCCACCCCCCCACCCACAGCTGGAATGTTTGGGGACTTTGCATTCAAGACTTGTTGTAACTGTTATGAAGGGGACATGGCTCTTCACTGGCAGGTCAGTGATGTGAGTAGTTGTGGGAATGACTACAGGTACTCCAGTTTGTCCTCCAAGGATGAAAGTGAAATGATCAACCATTTGTGGAGAGGACACAACCTAAGGTCTGGGAACATGGCTGGATTAGGGCATAACAAAGAATACTCAGGTTGAATTCTTTGGGCCTAGAATACACTAAAGGAGAGGTACTGTGTAGCCACAGTGTTCAGGGAGACAAACCGGCCACTTCCAGCTGCATCCAAGGTCCTAACCTGTACACTATAGCTGTCTGCAGGTAATGACTGCTCATCCAGTGCCCACCAACCCTCTGGTTCCAGTGTTACTCCCCAAAGAAATTTGCCTCCAGGGAGAGAAGGCATTGATGAGAAAGACCCTTTGACTTCTGTTAACTAATGTGCATGATGATCCTGAAAAGTAGATTACCAGTACAGAGTTTCCTAGCCTCCTCAGTCCCCAAACTTGGAAATTGAGGAAATGGGATTGCTGTTTAAATTATGGTAGCATCAATAGGGCATCAGAGCAGAGGTGAACAAAATGACAGGCTTTGAGACAGGGTCCAATGTTGGTCACCAGTGGAGACACAGAAAAAGCATTGTCCACTATCAGAGGTCCAGATTTTCATTGTCATTAGTTCTTCTGGGGATGTGTTCTTCAGCCTGTCTTAGCTTATCGCAACTAGCTTATTTTTTGATAGATCTTCAAATATCCTTCTGGTGAAGATTTGGCGGCTTCTGTAGGTCTGCCTAGGAGAAAATGCCAGTGTGAATATTCTACGTACTAATTATTCTTTTTCATTGTTGGTAAACTGACTTTTTATTGTCTACCTCAGGCTTTGTATGTATTGTGAGCCAGTCACTGCCAAGGCCTCTGCATCTTCAAAGTAAAGGTCAGATCCAGGACCCGGGTCCCTAAATAAAAGTTGTACCAAAATGCCTGTGGTGTTTAATGGCCCTTTGGTCAATAGGAAGCATACATATATCATATTACCACCTCCCTAGATGCAGTTATGTCAAAACCAGTCACCTGATCAGCAATTTCTTCATTTCTCACCCTCTGACAGAACAACATTCCTGAGTCCTTGAAGGCAGTCAGTGGAGTAGCTCCTACAGCCAGTTCTTCACCTTCTCTATTTCTCCTCTGTTCCCACATAGCCCTGAAGCATGGGTGCCTGCTCCTCACTGCAATAATAAGCAAGTGTGGGACACCCAGGAGTACCCTCCTCAGTTTGGGGAGACTTTTGGGTTAGCCCCAAAGCCCTCCGCTCTCTAGATTTATCCTGAGTCATGCCTGGGGACAGCATACCTTGGATAAAGCCAGGTTGACAACTAACATTTATTAGGTCAGTTGTTTTTCTAAACCTTTTATATGTGTTAATTCATTTTGATCCTTATAATGATTTGAAGTAAGCACTAATCCCTATTTTAATAATGAAGCTAAGGCACAGAGAGGGTACAGATTTGCCAAGGCAAGGCCAAGATTTGAACACCCATATTCCTCAAGTCTGGTCTGCAACCCAATCTCCTCCAGGGGTGTTAGAAAGACCCAGATGACTTCTCACCCATGCACTACCCACAACTTGAAATGTTAACTGGTTGGTGCTCCAACCATTTGGTTCAAACCTTTGATAAAAATGTTACCTGAAAGGAACTATTTATCCGGAGTAAGAAGCTTTGGGGCAGAGAGAGCAAAAGGGCATTTGAGTTCACTAGGGGAGGAGGGTAAGAGTGAATAGTCAACAGGCAGGAGGGCAAAGATCAACTTGGACTTCATATTTTGGTAGACCTGCTCCTTTAACAACCAGTCCTGTAGCAAATCTAGTTTAGTCTGCATGTCAGAGGATGGGGGATCTTTTCCCACCCTCACCATTTTGAAGTGGCAGGAGGTGGTGGCATAAGTGTGAGAGAGGGTAGCCAAAGGGAGAGGCCAAGGGAGAAGGAATCATTTTTTTAGTCGGAGTTGATTATCTAAGCAGAGGCAAATAATTTTAAGTTTTAAGCAAAAAGTAACATACACTAGTCGATTTTTCACAAATGGAACACAAACACAATCAACAAACTGTTACCACCATCCCAGATTGTCCCTCATGTTCCTTTCCAGGTACTCACTCCCCAAGCATAACCACTATCTGACTTCTAAAAATATAGGTTAGTTTTGTCTGTTTTTGGACATCGTATAAGCAGAATCAAATAGTATGTATTCTCTTATATCTGGCTTATTTGCTCTATGTTTGTAAGATTTTTGTTGCATGTATTTATATGTGGTTCCTTCTCCTGTCTGTATAGTATTCCATTGTGTAAATAAACTACCTATTTATCTGATGGATGTTTGGTTCATTCCCAGTTTGGAAACTTTTGATAGTACCACCTCAAATATCCTAGTACATGAATTTTGATACACATAGGTATCATTTCTGCCTAACAATGGAATTACAGGGTCATGGTATGTACATTACATTCAGTTTTACTGGATAACTGCCAAATAATTTTCTAAAGTTCCAACTGCCCCACACTTGGTAGTGTCGGTCTTTTTCATTTTATTCTGGCAGGCATGTAGTGGTATCTCATTGTGGCTTTAGTTTTCATTTCACTGATTGTTAATCAGATTAAACACTTCACATAACCTTTTGATTATCCCCTTGTTAAATATCTGTTCAGGTTCTTGCCCACTTTTCTATTGGTTGGACTGTCTTTTGTGGTTTTCAAAAATATATCAATTCTGGATACGTGTCATTTGTTGAATGTATTGTGTTGTCAGACTATATGAAATATATGTATAATACATATGAAAAGAAACTGAATATACTAGTATTTAAATTTAGTATACTGGTGTACTCTTTCATAGTTGGTATATTTTGCTTAAGAAAGGTTTGTCTCTTCTGAAATCATGAAGATGTTAATTGTTTTCTTCAGAATCTTTTTTGTTTTACCTTTTAAATCTGAATCATACTCATTCTTTTGTTAATAGTGTGAGGTCGGGTTTAAGGTAGAAGTTTTCCTTTATGGATTTCCAGCACCGTTTATTGATTTAAAAAAAATATCTTGTTTCTCCTATACCACTGTTTTTCACCTTTTTGATGTATAAGGTGGTCACACATGTGTGGGTTTGTTTCTGAACTCTGTTCTGTTCCACTGGTCAGCTTATTTATCCATGCACCAATACCACACTATCTTAATTATATCTTTGTAATAGGTCTTGATACCAATAAAGAAGATAAAGGTAGTTTTAGCTTATTAATTAAGTTGAGCAAAGTGAAGAGTGGTACATGATAAATGCATAGAGATAGGCAAAGGTGGGAAGAAACCTGGATATTATTCTAAAGTCACTGGAAAGCCACAAGAGGATTATATCAGTGTGGTAATCTATTTTATGTTTTTAGAAGATAGCCCTGATCAATAAAGATGGAAAAGATTTAAACAACCCTATTACCAACTTACCCTAAATGTCATCTATAGAAGACTTCAACAACAGCAAAATAGACATTCTTTCTAGGCATAAATGAAATACTCTTCAGGTTAGACCATAGACCAAATGTCCATAAAATTAAAAGGATTAAAATCATACAAAACATTTTTCCTACCACAATAGAATTAGAAATCAAAAGCAGAAGGAAATTTGAGAAATCTACAAATATTTGGAATTAAACCAAAGTACTTCCTAAATGGCCCATAGGTCAAAAAAGGAATAGCAAGGAAAATCAGAAAACATTTTGAGCTAAATGAAAATAAAAACATCAGGATGTATGGGTTGAAGCTAAAGCAGTACTTAGCTATAAAAACCTATATTGGGAAGAAAAAATATAGGGGATCTCCAGTCAATAACCTAAGATTCCACTTATGTAACTAGAGGAACTTAGGGACTGGAGAAGAATAAGCCTATTAAACCCAAAGCAAGAAGAAAAAAGGAAATAAGAATGAAAAAGAAATAGAAGACAGAAGCCATAGAGAAAAAATTAAAAACTGACCCTTTGAAAAGATCAACAAAGCTGATAAACAGACAATGAAAAAAATAAGACAAGTTACCAAAATGAGGAATGAAAGCAAGGAACTCCTTTACAAACAAACAAACAAAAATTATAGGGATTGTAAAGGAATAATATGAACAATTTTATGTTGAGACCATTTGTATTAAGACAAAAAGGACACAAAATACTGAAACTGACTTTCAAAAATAGGGAATCTGAATAGTAAAAAAACATTTGAATAATTGTTTAAAAATCTACCACAAAGAAAAACTCAGCCCCAAATGGCTTCACTGGTGATTTCTCTGAAAAATATTTAAGAATGAAACAATACCAATCCTTCATAAACTCTTCTACAAAATAGAAGAGGAGGGAGTGTTTCCCATCTCCTTCTATGAGGCCTTGATACCAAAGCCAGGAAAAGACATCTATGTGCCACAGTTAGGTAGGATTTATTCCAGTAATGCAAAGATGGTTTAACATCTGAAAAGAAAATTAATATAACTCACCATATTAATAGAGTAAAAGAAAAGCCACATGACCACTGCAATAGAAAAGTATTTTATAAAATTCTAACATGCCTGATGATAAAACACAACAAACCTGGAACAGAAGGGAACCTCTTCAGGCTGATCAAAGGCATCTACAAAGACCAAGAGCTAACATCATGCTTAATGAAGACATAAAATCAGGAATAAGACAAAGATATTCACTCTCACCACTTCACCACATTATACTAGAGGTTCTAACCAGTGTAATTAGGCAAGAAAACGGAACAAAAAGCACCCACATTGAAAAAGAATGAATGAAACGGTCTTTTATTTGCAGACTATGTATAGAAAATCCTAAAGTATTAGCACACATAAAAAATTATGAGTTCAGCAGTTACATGATGCAAGATCAATATACAAAAAGTAAGTTGTATTCCTATATACCAGCAATGAACAATTCAAAAATGAGATTAAAAAAAAAATCAGCTCACAATAATAAAATACTTAGGAATAAGTTTAACAACAGAAAACCCCTAAGGTCTGTACATTGAAAACTACAAAAAATTGCTGAGAAAAATTAAATACCTAAGTAAAGAGGCATTTCAAGTTGATATACGCAATATTGTTAAGATCACAACTTACCCCAAAATGGTCTATAGATTCAACGCAATCCCGATAGAAATTTCAGTAAGCTTTCTTTGCAGAAATTGACAAACTGATCGTAAAAAGTATATATTAATGCAAAGGACCCCACAGCAATTTTTTGTTCTTAAATATTTTATTGTCAAGTTGATTTCCCTATAACACCCTGTGCTCAACCCAACAAGTGCCCTCCTCCATGCCCAACACCCCCCTTCCCCCTCCGCCACCGCCATCAGCCCTCAGTTTGTTCTGAGCATTCAAGAGTCTCATGGTTTGCCTCCCTCCCTCTCTCCAACTATTTTCCCCCTTCTTCTCCCCCATGGTCCTCCGTGAAGCTCCTCCTAATCCTCCTGTACGTGCGAACATATGGTATCTGTCCTTCTCTGCCTGACTTATTTCGCTCAGCATAACACCCTCAAGTTCCATCCATGATGCTACCAATGGCCAGATTTCATTCTTTCTTTTTGCCATGTAGTATTCCATTGTGTAGATGAACCACATCTTCTTGATCCATTCATCAGTTGATGGACACTTAGGCTCTTTCCATGTTTTCGCTATTGTTTTTTTGTTTGTTTCTTTAATACTTTATTGTCAAGTTGGTTTCCATATAACACCCAGTTTTCATCCCCACAAGTGCCCTCCATGCCCACCACCCCCTTCCCCTCGCTCCCCCACCCCCATCAGTCCTAAGTTTGTTCTTAGCATTCAAGAGTCTCTCATGGTTTACTTCCCTCCCTCTCCCCCACTCCCACCCCCCTTCTTCTCCCCCATGGTCCTCCATTAAGTTCCTCCTAATCCTCCTATATGTGCAAACATATAGAAGCTGTCCTTCTCTGCCTGACTTATTTCACTCAGCATAATGCCCTCAAGTTCCATCCATGTTGCTATACATGGCCAGATTTCATGCCTTCTCATTGCCATGTAGTATTCCATTGTATAGATAAACCACATCTTCTTGATCCATTCATCAGTTGATGGGCACTTAGGCTCTTTCCATGTTTTGGCTATTGTTGAGAGTGCTGCTATGAACATTGGGGTACATGTGCCCCTATGCATCAGCACTCCTGTATTCCTTGGATAAATTCCTAGCAGTGCTATTGCTGGGTCACAGGGGAGTTCTATTGTTAATTTTTTGAGGAACCTCCACACTGTTTTCCAGAGGGGCTGCACCGGTTTACATTCCCACCAACAGTGTAGGAGGGTGCCCGTTTCTCCACATCCTCGCCAGCATCTAGAGTCCTCTGATTTGCTCATTTTAGCCACTCTGACCGGCGTGAGGAGGTATCTCAGTGTGGTTTTGATTTGTATTTCCCTGATGAGGAGGGATGCTGAGCATCGTTTCATGTGTCTGTTGGCCATCTGGATGTCCTCTTTGGAGAAGTGTCTGTT